GGGGAGGCGCGCCTGGGGTGGGCCTTAGGGCCCATCTGCCCTAGGGTTTGCCCTCTCCCCTCCTAGTTGCGCCTTGGGAAAGGGTGGGAGGCGCACCAGCCCACTCTGGGGCTGGTCCCTTTCCACTCTAGGCCCATGCAAGCCTCCGGGGCCGGTGGCCCCACTTGGTGGACCCCCGGGACCCTCCCGGTGGTCCCGGTACGTTACCGATAAAACCCGAAACTTTTCCGGTGACCAAAACAGGACTTCCCATATATAAATCTTTACCTCCGGACCATTCCGGAACTCCCCGTGACGTCCGGGATCTCATCCGGGACTCCGAACAACATTCGGTAACCACATACAAACTTCCTTTATAACCCTAGCGTCATCGAACCTTAAGTGTGTAGACCCTACGGGTTCGGGAACCATGCAGACATGACCGAGACGTTCTCTGGTCAATAACCAACAGCGGGATCTGGATACCCATGTTGGCTCCCACATGTTCCACGATCATCTCATCGGATGAACCACGATGTCAAGGACTCAATCAATCCCGTATACAATTCCCTTTGTCTAGCGGTATTGTACTTGCCCGAGATTCGATCGTCGGTATACCGATACCTTGTTCAATCTAGTTACCGGCAAGTCTCTTTACTCGTTCCGTAACACATCATCCCGTGATCAACTCCTTGATCACATTGTGCACATTATGATGATGTCCTACCGAGTGGGCCCAGAGATACCTCTCCGTTTACACGGAGTGACAAATCCCAGTCTCGATTCGTGCCAACCCAACAGACACTTTCGGAGATACCTGTAGTGCACCTTTATAGCCACCCAGTTACGTTGTGACGTTTGGTACACCCAAAGCATTCCTACGGTATCCGGGAGTTGCACAATCTCATGGTCTAAGGAAAGATACTTGACATTAGAAAAGCTTTAGCATACGAACTACACGATCTTTGTGCTAGGCTTAGGATTGGGTCTTGTCCATCACATCATTCTCCTAATGATGTGATCCCGTTATCAACGACATCCAATGTCCATAGCCAGGAAACCATGACTATCTGTTGATCACAACGAGCTAGTCAACTAGAGGCTCACTAGGGACATATTGTGGTCTATGTATTCACACGTGTATTACGATTTCCGGATAATACAGTTATAGCATGAATAAAAGACTATTATCATGAACAAATAAATATAATAATAACCAATTTATTATTGCCTCTAGGGCATATTTCCAACATTTAGCATATAAAAGGAGGCCCATGCGCAATGTAGAAAGGGGTTCGAGTGCAGAAAAACACTCAGGCTCGGTCTCGTTAGCAGCTATGTGTACTGTAGCACTCAACGCTCCCGAGCAAGAACTCAATACACTCAGACATGCAGCAGTAGGAGTATTATCTCTCTGGAGAGCTCCGAAGCTGGGTAAACCGCTCGTGTGCTTCGCCTCGATCCGCTCTTCGTGCAATCTCCGCCTCCCGCCGAATCGAAAGGAGCCCGGTCTGCCGGTCCCCATAGGTGTTCGTGGATCAGCCTCCCCTACACATTGCAAACCTTGCTTCGATTAGCTTTCCACAAGTGATTGGAAGTGACGTACGAACCTGTCTTTAGCAAAGGTATAGTTGTTGTTAGCTTGTGAGTACTATGACAATGAGTGGGTGCTGTTTAATCCCAAACTTTGCCTTCCTCATCAACTGAGTTGACATTACAGTGACGACGAAAAAACATGATGGTTTTCAGTTGGGGAAGTCATTAGTGGAAAGAGAGTGATGTATGGTTTAGTATAAAAGGCGACGGCAAGCTTCGTCATTCCCTCCCACTCCTACTCGAAAGTACACTAATTCAACTATGAGTAAGTAAGGATTAGATTCCATCCGCTCAATTTTACGAACCTTGTCATAAGGCAACCGTGTTTCTATTAAAAGAAGAAAGACGGTCTACTTTAGAAGGAACACTAAACCTTGTATTAATTTCATCAAACTCGAGCTAAAACCACCAATGTCCCACGCTACCTCGCCAAACTATATCTGGAGGGCCAGCTGACAACACAAACACACTGAAAAAGAGCGCAATAATCGTCAAAAGGTGAGGCCAAAGCCAATGGGAAGTGGTTTTGCGCCTTGTCGACACATAAGAAAGATAAATTGCCGCACCCTTTCTCGACGCAACGACGTTAAGATTGTGTCGTGCTTACCGTGTAGACTAATGACTATGCATCAAGATCGGCTTCATCCTTAAATTTACAATATAATAAATTGTGAAAAGACCATAGGCCATACATTTAGTAGCACACGACTTTACAAAAACACCTTTAAAGAAATTGTAAAACACATTCAAGTTATTGGTGCCTCTGTGCTTGTCCAAAATGTTCATTGTGTTTGTTTGTTATAGTGTTGGAAGCCTTATTATCGGCCCTAAGACATCACGTCTCTTTAGTAGCGGAAGTTTTTTTTCCTCTCGCATCGATCAGCGGCACGCCATGTGCAAAGCTCGTTACCATATCTGGGCCCCCGTCTCAGCGGTGCAAACTTTTGAAATCAAGGAGCCTATAGAAGCAACGACAGGGAATCATCGATGTAGACTAGAAAATGCCATCGGCCACAATCCGCATGAGCAAATCGATGCCCCGGAAAAGAAAACGTCGAGCATGGCCTTGGAGCACCCCTGATCCGGCAAGACGGAGTTGCACGCTCCTCGACCCGGCCGAGGATGGCCAACCATCATCGGTTGGAAAGGGAGCCGAAGGGCCAAAATACAGGGGGACATTCTTCACTTCGCAAGATAGCATCACTGATACAAACCTGTAGAAAAAAGGCGAGACTCGGATAACCAGTGCTAGGGACTCATAATCCTCCACACATTCCGGCGAGGATGAGGCAAGAGACCTTATTCCACACTGAGAACGTCGGCCATCATATCGCCATTGCTGATCAAAGACAAACTTAAATTTATTCCTAACCCTAACCCCACCAAACCAAAGTCTTGGAGTCCCAGCCCCCTCTCATCGTCGGAACGACAGAGGAAGAAGAGGGGGCATGTGCCTAGTCGGGGAGTCACGGAAGATGGGTTATCGTGTGCTCCTAGGTCAAGGGAGCCCTGAAGGAAAAGAACCCTTAACTTTGATCATTTGAGGAACTATTGCACCCAATCTGGGTAGCTTGACATCTTTCTTAATAGAAAAAAAAATGCTCCCTCCTTCCTAGAATGTAAGACGATTTTGGACACTGGTGTAGTGTTAAAAAATGTCTTACATTATGAGACTGAGGGACTGGCGGAGCTTGGAAGAAAAACCTGGGCGGGCCAACTCAAAAGAAAGCACAACATTTGGTCTGCAATTATCCATGAGTATATCGTTGTTGCTTTTCTGTAAGGTCTTTTGCCTGCGCGCGTGATCATCGTCTTTGCTTCTACTCGTACCCTAGCTAGTGACCCAGCAGATGACTCTGGCGGTTTTGCTTCCTTTTTACTGAACAAGAAGGTGGTGAGCCCCTGCAATTTATAGAATGTAAAGTATAGTTGAACGAAAAATCAGGCTATGATCGGAGTTAGCGAACTCAGAATTTGAGGGCAGAAATTAGATTAATTATATTGTATAGACTCGCAATTGCAAGGGAATTTAAGATGCAGTACTGGCCGCCGGCTGGACGCTGCTTGCTGTGACCTGTGAGGCTGCTTCTGCATGGTTATTGGACCTATGGCGGGCTTGGCGTCTGCTCTCTATTGTATGCCGGTACAACCAAGACGAGCAGAAGCAGACTCATCTCGCTGCAGGTGCAGGACGCTGGCCAGCAGCCACCCTACTGGCTTTTGCATCGACTAGTAGCCTGAATGGACGTTACATAGTTACTGGGCTGACCTACAGAAGTATAGGTATTACTATTTTTTGTCAAAATCCTGGGCGGGCCATGGCGCAGGTCTGCCCCAACTGAGCTCCGCCCCTCCGAGGGAGTATATCACAAGGGTTCAATTTGTTGGGAGTGGTCAGTAATATCGTAAGATTCACCGAATCACCCGTGTGGGAAGCCAAAGGCAGGCGGATCAAACTGGTTAATTTAATTGCACATAATAAAAAAATCTCAGAAGATTTAGAGTAAAACCATACCATTCAGGGAAACATGATAATTCATATCCTAATTTATATCAAGTCCATTTTAACGGTGACACTGCTGTTGCAGAGTGTACCTAGCATGTCGGACCAAAAACCAAACAGGATCCAATAATTCAGGGAAACGAAATAAGAGACGGGGCACACAGGTGGCCTACACTGAAGTTGAACAACTTGTGAATCATGTTTGATTACCTCCTTCAGATCCATGGCCTTCTCTATTTTGTTTCCAACCAAATCAAATCACCGGCACAGCACAGATCAACCAAGAATCTACAGGCACCCGGGCAGCATAATTAGCTTGCCATGGACACATATGGGAAGCAACAGGCACCTACCACCGGATGCCGTGCCCTGCACTGCCTCCCAAAACAACATCGATGGTTCTTCAGAATACAGCAGTCGTTTCTTCAGAATACAGCGGTCGTTTCTGTAGAGAGATAGGTTATGGGCTGTGCAATCGCAATGCATTGATCGGTGCACCAGGCACGTATATATAAGTACAGAGGTGGGCCACAACCTCAACTATACAAGAAAACAGGAGGTGGGCCCTACACGCACATATACACGTACACAATATACTCAACACCCCCCCGCAGTCGAAGCGGCGCCAGTGACGCAGAGACTGGAACGGAACTCCTCAAAGGTGGAAGTCGGCAGTCCCTTCGTCATCACATCAGCGAACTGCTGAGCGGTCGGCACATGGAGAACCCGCATGCGTCCAAGAGCCACCTGCTCACGCACAAAGTGAATGTCCAGCTCGATGTGTTTAGTCCGGCGATGATGAACGGGGTTGGCGGAGAGGTACACCGCAGAGACGTTGTCGCAGTAGACAACCGTAGCCTGGGAGACATCGTGATGTAGCTCCTGAAGTAACTGTCGAAGCCAGGTGCACTCGGCGACAGCGTTGGCCACAACTCGGTACTCAGCCTCCGCGCTAGAGCGCGAAACCGTGGGTTGTCGCTTGGACGACCACGAGACGAGAGAAGGACCGAGGTAGACGCAGTAGCCAGAGGTGGACCGACGAGTATCCGGACAGCTGGCCCAGTCTGCATCGGAGTAAGCCACCATCTCCAGAGAAGTGGACGCCGTGAGTGTCAACCTAAGGGACATCGTGCCGCGGATGTAGCGAAGGATCCGCTTCACGAGAGTCCAGTGAGAGTCACGAGGGGCGTGCATGTGGGGACACACCTGCTGAACAGCATACTGAAGATCCGGGCGGGTGAGTGTCAAGTACTGTAGAGCGCCGACAATAGACCGGTAGAATGGAGCATCCGACGCAGGCGAACCCTCGAGAGCAGAAACCTTGGCCTTCGTGTCAACAGGAGTAGCAACAGGATGGCAGTTGAGCATGCCAGCGCGCTCAAGAAGCTCATGGGCATACTTCTGTTGATGAAGAAAGAAACCGTCCGGACGCCGAACGACCTCAATGCCAAGGAAATAATGTAGAGCACCTAGGTCCTTGATAGCAAACTCGTCACGCAGCCGGAGAGTAATCTGCTGGAGAACGGCTGCAGAGGAGGCTGTCAGGATGATGTCGTCGACGTAAAGCAGCAAATATGCAGTCGTGTCACCGTGGCGATAGACAAACAGTGAGGCGTCCGAGCGAGTGACGCTGAAGCCCAGTGTCTGAAGAAACCTGGCGATCCGCTGGTACCAGGCGCGGGGGGCCTGCTTGAGCCCATAGAGAGAGCGCGACAGCAGGCACACATGGCCGGGAAATGAAGCATCGACGAAGCCGGTGGGTTGCTCACAAAACACCTACTCCTCAAGATGGCCGTGAAGAAAGGCGTTGGAGACATCCATCTGGTGAACAGGCCAGCCGCGAGAGACGGCGAGCTGGAGGACAGTGCGGATCGTGCCCGGTTTGACAACCGGGGCGAACGTCTCCGTGAAATCAACTCCAGCACGCTGGCGGAAACCGCGGACCACCCAGCGAGCCTTGTAGCGCTCAAGTGAACCGTCTGAGCGGGTCTTATGGCGAAAAACCCACTTGCCGGTGATGACGTTGGCGCGAGGAGGCTGGGGAACCAGGGTCCAGGTGCGGTTCCGTTGGAGAGCGTCGAACTCTTCCTGCATCGTCGCAAGCCAGTGAGGATCACGGAGGGCGGCGCGGGCGGACGCAGGAATGGGTGATGGCTCCACGGCAGAGGCGGCGAGGACGTACTCGTCACGCGAGTACCGGAGACTCGGGCAGTGAATGCCGGCGCGAGCACGGGTGACGGGGCCGGACGGGGCCACCCGGGCTGGCGAGGCGGCCGGCGAG